ACACTACGATTGCCAGGCGAATTTCTCCCGCTCTCGAGCTCCCCACTACCTGTAGATCACGCCTCGTATATAAAGTCACTAAATGTATGACTAAATTCTTTGTCCTGCACGAAAATGAGCTCACACGACTCTGTTAGTATCGACCGTCTGAAACCGACCTACTCAGAGTGATATCCCATCAACCTAGAATTGAGCGTTCCGAATAATGCACAGGTAACTGAATACGCGTTAGTTGTCAAAAAAATCACTAGCACGACAAAAACAACCAAATCTTCTTTCGAGACTCAAACGAAAACGTGTTCTAGAGGAATCGTGAGATTCTGAGAACACCTTCATATTCATCTCACATAGAGAAATTAACTACACCCATCCAATTCTTTTAAAATCAATCTATCGCACTGTGGTACATTTTTTCACGCCTATACACTCGTTCGCATTGCATCCCACATCATAAGTTAGGTGTTTTTTATGACTGTTCAAGCAACATCCGCAGCAACAGAAATTTATCTTATTCAGTGATCTCTTTTTCGAATTATTTTCCCTATGGTAGAGTTATGCCCTTATTCATCCATTATTTTTTGCTATATTTTCCCCGACAAGGTTCTCAGCATTCTTGTTTTCTTTTCTAGGTGTGACGGGCACTGGACAAGAAGCAAACGAAGCATGAGGTCCGACGGATGAACATCTACAAAGGTAATCTATCAAGCCTATCGGAAGAGTTTTACTAGTGGTGCCACCATTAGCCTTTTGCTTCCGCCTGATTTCGTCTTAGGGTCTTCACAACTCCACTAGGTGGGGCGATGGAGTGAGCTGTAGCGGTAGGTAATTCCCCAAGATTATTAGTTACAGCATTCATCACTCAACATTGGATGTTGACCGCCGCCATTTAAGTCGGCTTGCCTAGCTGAAGGCTCACGGTCAAGCATCAACGTCATTTGGCATGCCGTCGTGTTACGTTCGGTTGTTCGTGCACAATCCCTGGCTAGTTAGGCAATCAACCTCGCACTACGATTTGGTCCAGAAATACACTTCGCAATTTTCATCGCCAATTGTGGTGTTTCGCTTTGTCTTTGGTCTAGGCCGAACGAATACTATAGAAGGTGTGGATACAATATCTTGCACTACCATACTTACTACTATCCGCGAACATCAACACCCTCAACCTCTAAAAACGGTTCGAACCTGATTTGTGTCCAAAAAGAAGCAGGTATCATTGTTTTCTCGCTGCAGAAACTGTTACATGCTGGCTGGTAGACACTACCGTTCATCTCTAAACGCTTAGACTTCACTTAACATTGATAGGGCACTTTCCATAGTGAGCTACTCACTGAATACTTAGCAGCGAAGCATTTCAGGCATATGAATGAGGGGACCACCTTTTCAATAAATACCGAACACAAGTCCTCAATGTCAGCTACGTATGCTAGTCACAACAAATATCATCCTCGAGATATACAGAACCCTGAAGGAGTGAGCTATCTTCATGTTTAGATGGATGGAGTGCTTGAGACAAGGGTCGCGATACTTGAAGTACTCACCTCATTCACCAGTTTTGCAGGAATCTCGAGAGAATTGTGTCTACAATCGTGGACCAAATATTATTAAAGTGGTAGAACGCTCAGTCTGATTCAAAGTCACTCTGTGGTGTGTTGAGTAATAAATACAGTGAAAAATTCTTCAAACAGTGGTTGCTTTAGTGATACAACTGCTAGTGTCCACATACCCCTGCAGTCTAAGTGATTTATATTTACTCTGGCTAAATGGGGCTATGATCGCCTTTGAAGCGGTCAAGGTGTGTGAGAAACCATCTTATTTTTATTTATATCATGCTTGTCAGTTCTATAGGTTTCCATGGATAACATTTTGTAACACAAGAAAACAGTTTAGGAAATAAGGCCTTTATAAGAGACTGCTGGGATGGTATTTGCTTTGTTTCGTTGCTACACAATTCAGTATTATATGCGCTTTTTAGGAGTGAATTAGATCCGTGGAGAAAGTGGAGCAGAAATCCACCTCACTTGCTGAGAAGTGTGATGTCGCTTGGCAAGAGTGGTAAAACTGACTTTCTGCAACAGCTGAATGTTTACGAAAATAAAATTGATGGTGTTTCTGGTTCTAGTTCACTAATTAAGTTTGATGTTGGACATTTAAAGAGAAAGAGAAGAAAGGAGATTTCCTTCATCGTAGCCAAATTTAAGATATCCTGTGACACATTTTTCATTCGAAACTGATCTGGTATTTGTCTTGACTAGAAAATCTTAGACGACTTGTCGCAGTTCAGATCATACTGGTGTCGAAAGCATTTCGATTGGAGAGTAGCTGTTGTATGAATTCGATGTCTAGTCTCGAGAAATGCTTTAGGTGTATTTTGCTTAGTTCGACGTGTCAAACATTTTGCATTCTTTAACCTGTTATCTATCGACCAAATAGTCACATTACGTTTTCTAAAGGGAACCCACTAGTTACCTTACAAATCAGCATTTAAACCATTAAAGGGTAAATAAGTTGAATATGACAGTTTGAACCAAGTAAAATACACATAAAGCATTTCTTACTTACTCGTGACTAGAAATCGAATTCATACATCAACAACTCTTCAATTCAAATGCTTTCGACACCACTACATTCTCAGCTGCGACAAGTTGCCTAAGATACCTTGAAGTCAATTCAGGACAAATGCCAGATCACTTTCAAATGAAAACTGTATCTCTAACGAAAGAGAAGAAATCTGTGTAAAAGCAGTGTTCCGGAGACTTGACCTCGTCTGTCATGTTGATGAAATTAATGTGATATGATATGTGCATATGATTCCACTAGATGTTTCTTCTCTATTTGTTATCGATGTGGTTACATTGACTCGAAAAACATAAATACGAGAATGCCAACTAATTATCTGAAACAACTATTACTGAAGTGCACGTTTAATCTGCATTTTAGATTTGATGACGTCATCTGTAAACATAAGGAGTGAGTCACAGTCCGGTCTCCTTCAGGACCTCTCCCAGAGGTTGTCTTCGATATCATAATTACTCGGAAGAATCCCAGAAAGCCAAAACACGATTTTTATGGATGTTTTACTGTGTAAGTCACATCATCTTCAGCATAATCAATCGGATCTTATCCATCGAAAGAAATTATCTTGAGTCTGCATATGCATACGAGATATATGGACGATACCTACTATCTGTCATGACAACGGTTCAGATGCTAAACTCTCCAGAAAATGTAATCGTCGTCAGTCGTTTATGCTTCTCACAATAGAAGAAAAGTCGATTTCCACATTTCACTTCTTAGATGTTACGCTAGATAGAAGAGAGTGGGACATACTGCAAAAAATCGACCTGCTGACAGTATGATCTTCACAGGAAAGTACACTAATGACAACAGTTGGATACCCCTAGGTAGAAAGAGAAGTCTTTTTCATTCTCTAAGCTCCAGAATTCGGGAGATTCGCTCCCCAAATACGGTCGATAAAGAGCTGGAAAACATTCGAACAACACTCTAAATTAATAGATATCCAAGAAGGTATATTGGAGAAAGAAACATGAGGAAAGAAACCACTCCTTGTCAAATCACAATGTCAAAGAAAATTGTATCCATGAGTTTGGCATTCAATGATGACACAAGTGCTGAAGGGATTAAAAACCATCTATCAAAGCTTCCTTCCATGCCGTTGACCCACACTTAGTAATCTCCAGTAGAAGTGCCTGTGCCCATCTGTATGTTCGTCTGCTCTTTCACGTGCTCCTGTGGAGCTGGTCATATTGGATGTTGTAAGCTTGTTCCCCGCAAACGCCTAACTGAACACGATTCATTTCGCTTGGTGAAAGGATAGAATAAGATGACGGAGTTTCCCACTTATGGAACACCTTTTGTTATCAGGTGATTCACACCCACGAGATTTATTATTTAAGGTTATCTACATAGTCAAGTCCAGTCAATCTAAAAGTTGACGTTTTTTTCCACTTATGTATAGCTGAAGCTCTAACTTTACACGAACAGAAACCTAAACTATGTATTCAAAATCATTTTGTTAAGCCCCTTTCTTTACCTTCATCATAGTAGTGTTCTTTTCATTTCATTTATTCTCTTTTACCACTTGAATTCATTTCACTTCACTTCATCTTCGCCGTCTTTAATGTTATCATAATCATCACACTTTTCATTTAATTTTTTTTTGACATTTTGCCTACTTTGATATCTGAATACCAATTCACTTATTCGATAATCTCTGAAAATCTTCTAATTCACCCACTTCAACTCTAAATCCCTTAAATAACAGGTTAATTGTCTTTATTCTTAACATCATATGCATATTGACTGAGCAGTGTTCATTGCAACCTCAAGTCTTTTACCGTAATAGAAATACAACTATACAGATTGAAAATGAAGTCATCAAAAAGAAAGATTTCTTCGTTGAACAAAAACTGTATTTCTCTTTATAAGATAAATGAGTATATTTCGTGATTTTAGACAATGGCTGTATGAATCCACTGAGTCGCTTATACAAAACTCTGTAAACGAACTCGATACAAATGAATAAGTCATAAATATGTACTACAGTGCTTGCACCTCAGAGCTGTAATCTTTTGCTCTCCCCGAATTCCGAACTTTGTCTTAGTCCTCCAGTGCTCCAGGGTATATCAACGGTAGTCATTTACTCAGTATGGGATCTCCTCTATTTAATATGAAGACAAAAGCTGTCCTTCAAGTTCTAAGCGTCCTTGCATATTTTCGTATCGAAAGCGGAAATCATTCGTGGAGGTGGACTGGGTCGTGGATCACGTGACAAATGTATACCTAAATCACCTGAGTCGACTGATAACAAACTGACGCTAATATATTTACCTGATTTTTGCTGTTTTTATCTGAAATCAAATACACTATTGTATAAATAAGACGCATCACAAGTGCACTATCCCACCTTATATAGATCACGTGTAGTAATTAGTGTATAAAATGGGTTTGTCACTCACTAGTATGGCGTTCGGAATTCAGCTTCACACTTTCCCTTGAACCTATAGATGGAAACAATAAATAGACGAATACATATGAAGAATTATTGATGTGTCAAAGTATACAGCTGTTCTACCGAACACAAGTAACAAGGCTGACACGGTACAACTGTTGAAATAATGGAACGTGGTTCCAAATACTACGAAGGCTATAATTACAGCACCGCAAAGTCTCATCAGTCACGCCGATCATTTACCTCGACTTCTAACTTCCTGAGGCAACCATCGATTGTAAAATGATTCCCATTGGTTTCAAGTTTAATATAAATAAAAAGGCTTCTAGAAAACCTACGCAGTATATTCTAATCTTTCTTTCTCTCTCTCTCTCTCTCTATTACACTACTCAGTGGACAGTCAAAGTGATGCACTTCCGCATATTTACAGCACTGAAGTAAATACACACGTGTGAAACTGTCTCCAATTCCAGACCGGTGCATACCGGTTTGAACTACTCTTGTCACAGTCCATACTGGAACAAAAAGTATTCTCAAGAACTTGTAAAGTCTTTCAGACAAATAAATGTGTAAGCCTACAGTTTTAAGGTGGATGATCAGCCTAGAAAACTTATAAGATTCACTGAAGGGAAACTTCCCTTCTCGATGACATTAGATTAAAGCTTTCCTAGTTTGCTAATTCAACACACGCAACAATATTCATATGGTGAGTATCTATCTATGAAGGCAACATCTAGAAAAGATATATGATCTTGTGTTAGTCGTTTGTATTTGGAAGGTAAAGTACCATATGATAACTTGAAGTTGCAATTAATGTAGTTATTCCGTAGGAGGAAGCGAAATGAAGTGATAGAACATGTTGACCACTTCACCTATTTGGGAAGTTGTATTAGCACCAACGGACTGATTGGTGACGAAATCTCAATCTCAACACGGATCCAAAAGGCTCGAGCTGCTTTCGCTGACTTACACCACCTCTGGCGTAGGCGTGACATCCAGCTATCAACCAAGGGACGTGTGTACTGCTCAGTAGATCGCTCCGTCCTTCTCTATGGCTCTGAAACATGGCCAATACGCGTTGAAGACATGAAAAGGTTGACTGCTTTCGATCATACATGTCTGCGATCTCTGTCTCACGTTAGGTGGTTTAACAAGGTAAGTAATGTTGACGTTAGGCATAGAGTGTTGGGCAAACAGGGAAAATCAATCGACAAGGCTATAAAGTTACATAGATTGAGATGGCTAGGTCACGTCACGTGGTGCGCATGCCTAACCATCGCCTCCCTCGACGGGCATTACTAGCTGATATAGGTGCAGGTTGGAAAAGGGTAAGTGGTGGCCAAACAAAAACATGGCATCAATCCATGAAATCCTTGACAGCTATAAACTGAGTCAGGTAGGGAGATTCGGACTTCCGGGTTGGGGCCCTCGGGACTCTAGGAATCAATGGCTGGAGACAATAGGTGAAATGGCTCAAAATCGTTGTCAATGGCGCAGATGTATTCAGTCTCTGTAATCTTTCATATTCCTTTCTATCATTACCCATTCTGTTTCACTCTCATACTTGTGAAACTCTATTAATTCTCTCCACTGATCTTCTTGCCTACCTTTGTGTGCTATTTGGAACGTGGGAACTCGAACTGCTGCACTTCGGTGCCAAGTTCTATGTTGAATCCAAACAGACAGACGCCAGTACGAAAGAAATTTAGTGAAGACCCTCAGCCACAGAGTTAGAGCTATATGCTAAGAAGAAGTAATTTAAGATGAATTAAGCATTGTATATGATACTTTGATCGAAAATAGCTATCCCGAAAAATTTATCAAGAAACACATGACAAAGAAAGCGGAAAAGGACTACTCACTATCTGTAAACAAGAAGCCACTTATATACGACTGGAATTCAAGGGCATATACCAAATGAGATAATTACGAGGAAATTAAGAAAATCAGTTCGAAGAACTCTTAATGCTAGGAAACTACATGTCTTATTCTCTACACGATCGATGGTGATTGTTCGACTGAGATATGAAGTACTTAGACTTGCCACTTCAAATTGTATCTACCAATTCAACTGCGCTTGTGGAGAGAGTTACATTGGCCGTTGCTCGAGGAACTTGATTTTTCGTGCTCGAGGACATCTCCCAGTATGGCTAAGTAAAGGTGTAGTAAAAACCATTAACAGTTCGATATTGGACCATCTGGTGCAAACCGGTCACAAAGCCAGCCAGCGTGGAAGAATCCTTCTCTATAATCTACCGGGTGCCTAATAAATTGCCAAAATCATCGAAGCACCGCATGCTCCAAACAGCAGAGGCTATTGCGATTCGCCTCAAACAACCAGTGCTCTGTGTTCAAAAGAAGCAATTCCAGCCCCTACTGCTGTCCTGGCCTTCAGTAGAGGCTATAAATTTATGAATTTATAATATTATCTTTCTTAATTTTTCCGACATTCAGTTTATTTTATCTTGATGCTATTGGCAACTACTTCGCTACTACGGGGTCCCATCGACAATTATACATCTCATCCAACAGTTATACGACAATGCTGCATGCCAAGTAATCCACAACGGGAAACTTACGGAGGCCTTCGAAGTGAGGACGGGAGTTAGGCAAGGCTGTCTACTATCACCAATGATCTTCCTGATTTTTTTTTTTTTTTTAATGCGACAGACAACGGCAACCAACGAGGGAACAGGCATAAAATGGACTGACACGAAAGACTTGGAGGATCTGGATTTCGCCGATGATATATGTCTGATTTCCCATAAACTGGAAGATATGCAAGTGAAAAGTAACAAGTTGGCAGAAGAAGCATCAAAGATAGGACTTCACGTGAACATAGATAAAACAGAGATGATGAAGATTCCTAGCCAACAGCAACAACAACAACAACAGACAACAATCAGCATAAGTGGGAAGAACCTGAAAGAAACAACCTCCTTCACCTACCTGGGAAGCATCGTCTCAACTACAGGCGGAACTGACGAGGACATCAAAGCCAGAATCGGAAAAGCAAGACAAGCTTACATTACTCTCAAATCTGTGTGGAGGTCAACAGCACTCAGCATCAAAAATAAGATCCGGATTTTCAACTCCAATGTGAAGTCAGTGCTACTTTACGGATCAGAGACTTGGCGAGTCATAAAGAGCATCTCAAACAAACTTCAAATCTTCATTAACAGCTGTCTCCGCTCAATACTCAAGATCAGATGGCCAGAAAAGATCAGCAACAGGGATCTCTGGGAGGGAACCAATCAGGAACTGATTGTGAAACAAATAGGCAGGAAGAAATGGAGATGGATTGGCCATACGCTGAGGAAACCATCAAGTGACATCACTAGACAAGCCCTCGAGTGGAACCCGAAAGGGAGGCGGCGAGTTGGTCGTCAGTGCGAGGGTGACTTGGAGGAGGTCATGTGAGGAGGAGATGAAAGCATGTGGACAGACCTGGAGCAGGGTGAAAAAGTTGTCAGGAAACCGAAGGCAATGGAGGTGCGCAGCTGAAGCCCTATGTTCCTCTAGGAACTAAAGGATACAATAATAATAATAATAATAATAATAATAATAATAATGCTATTGAGCTGTAATCTATCAATATTATTGATTCGATGTTATTTAAACATTATTGTTGTTTATAACACTAATTCAGTCATTCGCTATAATGTATATATAACTGTGGAGCCTGATAATGAAGTTATCGAAAAGAGTACTCTTTGTTCAGTATCCATTCTTTTGAAAATAACTTATTTCCAAACAACCAAGCGATACAACATGAAATCAAACATAGATGCAGGTATTATTTCTCGGACCTCGTGGACACCTTGATACATTCCATACCCTATATTGATTTTCGCCCTTTCATCCACCTCCAATTATTTATAAATGAAGAGTGTTTCTTTGAATATCTTATGATTCATAACACCTAAAGTCATTCTGAATCCATTGGAAAGATAAACAAATTTGCACTCCACTAGAAAATATCCTCCCAATGTAGCATCAGGCACTTCAGTTAAAGAAGGGAAACTTGAAATAACGACATAATACGATGTCTGTGTGCTATGCTATGCAACGCCAACGAAACACTTTGGACACACACACACACAGACGAACAAACAGACAACCCGACCGCTCAAATCAGCGTGAATAAAGTAAAATTCCAGCTTCTGAGTTCATGGGAATCTAAGTGACTAGATTAACAGACAACGAAACAACTGAAAACATCAATGCTTTAATTTGCTAACACTTCTATACAAGAGAAACGACACACATCAAATTCAAAAAGTGAACTTATGCCATCACAAAATGATCAAAACATCCCACTTTCTCTGAATGCTTTACGCAGAAATGTAACCCGGTATTTAAATTGAAGTCTGCAATCATACGGATAAGACTCACTTTTCTTTATTATCCCAGCCATAGACGCTGTTATTTGGGAGTATCCATTGCATGCTATAATAACAAGGAACTGATAGAAATATTTTACTATGTCACGTCGTGTCCTGATTATTTTAACATACACCACAATGCTTATGTGAAAAAAGCTCGCGAAAGATATTTGTAATTTCAAGCTATAACTGAAAATAACACAAACAATGGAGCAATTTAGTAAACTGATAAACACAAGCATACTCTACATATAAATTTAACTCAAATGAAAACATAAATTCTGAACAGAATATGGGGTACGAATCTTCTTACCTGAAATTGGAAATCATCAGTTAGCTAACGTCAAATCAACAGTTTTAATACATCAGTCATTAGTAGATTTCAGACGTTGAAGGTTAGAGACAAGACAAGATCTGAAACTTATCGCCCAATTTCTTCTAAGCAGTACGACGAGACCTCCAAGTATATGGGTTCGTCAGTTTGTTTCCGTGTGATTCGAACAGCTGGTTCTGTCATAACACTGGGCACGTAATGGCCGACGCTCATCGATCTCGTTGAGTGTCCAACGAATAGATCCACAACCGGACGGCTTGTACATTCGAAGTTGTAATACATACCGGCTATTCCAGCACCCTTTTCCATATCTAATGAAAGATATTTTGAATTTAGAAAACCATCAATCAGAGATGACTTGACTACTTCGGGAACAGAGATTGACGAACCGCTGAATCGTTCGGCACAACGCTGGGCCAGCTGGGTCCTTACTAACTGTTCGCCTATGCCAGAAGTGACAGTACCGATTCGGGAATACAAACTGAGTTCCTCTGCCCAGCAACCACAACCGTATGTACATGCCTGACCAATACGACCCTCGTATTTTACTGCAATACCACCGCTTGACGCCGCAGAGGCAATGTTCCCTTCCAAGTCGACGCATACAGCACCGACGGTGTCAGAGCTGGATTTGTTCTCTTCACTGGAATAACTACACCCAGGCATACAATCGGTAATATTCGCATTCCCATTTGTCTCGTCACCATTGTTTAACCAACTTGTGTATTTTTTCCACAATAATTTTGAAGTTGTAGTGGTAAGATCACAGGTATCAATAAAGTGTCCTTTCGAAGCTACCCAGTCATGAACCCCATCACCGAAAAGTAAAGATGGCTGGACACGTCCATTTTCACCCAAAGGGTAGTCAATCTGCGACTGTAGAAGAAGTCTTGCAACTTTCACAGGATTTCTTACATTTCGGACGGCACCGATCCCAGCAAACCGATGGGTAGAACTACTCATTATGCCTGCGTCACACTCGACAAACCCATTTATAGTTAAATTACTCCCAATTCCCGCATTGGTTAATGGACAGTCTTCTAAATAAGCAACAGTAGCCTCTACGGCATCCACAGCGTTCTTATGTTCAACAGACAGCAGCTCCGCAGCAAGTAAACAGGCTTCGAAACATAATTTATTATATTTCTCTTCGTTAGATTTTGATTGGTATCCTGCGCCCGAATGCACAATAACACAAACCATGATATAGCACTACGAAATTATTCTGTTGAAGCTTCTAAAATTAAACAAAAATAGTAGTAGATAGTAAGAAAGCATGTGGAACAATCGTGTAAATATGCATACAATCGAAAAAAAAGTAAATGAGGAATAATTTCCCCGCCAACTATTCAGAATCATCACTCTGAATCACTGATATTCAAACTGAATTAAATTCTTCAGATAAATTTTATTTCAATTCACACATAATTAATTCATGCATGATTAATTACAAAACATTCCACTGTAATGATCAATTTACACATCTGTATATATAGATACATAAAAAGCAATTTCAAAACAGATGGATTTCGCAACCCTTGTAAAAATAGTGCTCATGACCACATTCACTTATTGGGAGAAAAAGGGAATACATCACCAGAACAACCAAAACATGCCATTCATAGCATCGCCTAAGTAATAACACCTCAAAAAGATAATTCTAAACTACATCGACAATAAAGAAAATCACTTTTATCTATTTGGTTTGTGAGAATGACATTTCACAGTCAACCTCCTTTAATCACATCAAAACCAACACCGTTGTCTCTCGCTTAAATTTGAGAGGGAAAAGAACAAGAAGTTCAGCGAAAATATCTCTCAGAAATGGGGGTGGTATTCCAATGGTCAGATTCTTGTCATTTATATATTTATTATCAAGCTGTACAATCGTATATATATGGTTTTATAAAGAAATTATATCCGGTGAGGGAATTAGGTCAAAGGTGTAAATACATGAAATAATAATAGTATGAAATAAATTTAAAATATTTGTGATTAGGTTCATAGTTTAAGTCAAGTGGAACAATAATTAATGTCATATATAAGATAATACATCGGGTGTATAGATTTTGGGGAGAGGCATATAATTGTAAGATTAATAGACGAATGTAAAATGTTACGTAATATGGTGTGAAATTTGATAACATAGAATTTAATATTGTAAAAATAAAGATAAAAAGTATACACATGAATAATTTTTGGTTTAAAATGTCAAGTAGATCAAGTGGAAAAGATTCAGAATGAGAGTCGTAATAATAATAATAATGATAATAATAATAATAATCGAAGTAATAAGGGAAAAGTACATAAAATAATAAAATAAATGTCTATCCCTCTACGGCCAAGGCAGCAGTAGGGATTGTACATACTTCTTTTGTACACAAAGGTCTGGCTTAAAGTCATGAATTGCCAAGGCCTCAGCTGTCTTTAGAAGTCTGTAACGAAGAAAACGCGGGAAGATAAGCTCCCCCGTCTGACCGCCTCCATGTGCATCTACCAGTTCACCTGCTCTTGTGGAGCAAGGTACATTGGCCGTAGTCAGAGAATGCTCTCCACACGGATACGAGAACATATTCCAGCTTGGTTTTACAAAGGAGAAAGGAAATGTGTGCGAAGTTCTATCTTAGAACACCTCATCGACTCCTGTCACTCGGTCAACCCTGACCATGATTTCAAGGTCATATACAGAATTCATGCCAACTTCCCGCGTTTTCTTCGTTACAGACTTCTAAAGACAGCTGAGGCCTTGGCAATTCATGACTTTAAGCCAGACCTTTGTGTACAAAAGAAGTATGTACAATCCCTACTGCTGCCTTGGCCGTAGAGGGATAGACATTTATTTTATTATTTTATGTACTTTTCCCTTATTACTTCGATTATTATTATTATTATCATTATTATTATTATTACGACTCTCATTCTGAATCTTTTCCACTTGATCTACTTGACATTTTAAACCAAAAATTATTCATGTGTATACTTTTTATCTTTATTTTTACAATATTAAATTCTATGTTATCAAATTTCACACCATATTACGTAACATTTTACATTCGTCTATTAATCTTACAATTATATGCCTCTCCCCAAAATCTATACACCCGATGTATTATCTTATATATGACATTAATTATTGTTCCACTTGACTTAAACTATGAACCTAATTTATATATTTGCAAAGGAAACAAATTGTCTGTGAGAGGCACATTCGTAAATAGAGATTCTACGTCCAGTGATAACATTTGTTTGCCACTTACATTCAAGTCTTTTATGCATTCAATAAACTCAAAAGTATCTCGGAGAGAGTACTTACAGAGTTGTTATCTCACAGTCTAGCATTTTGGACATCCATTTGGCAATCGGATGGTATGGTGATCCCACCATGTCTAAAATTGGTCGAAGTGGCAGACCTGCTTTGGTAGACCGTAGAGTCAAGGAATAATTGATCCTCTTGATCTCAGACGTTCAAATAGGTCGTCATTCATGCAGCAGTCGCTCTCCATCTTCCTAAAGACATCTGTCAGTTGCTGTTCCATCAGTTCTGTCTTAATCTTCTCATTGTCTGGTCTTGAAAATTTACTATCAACAGAGCCACTAAGCGCCTGCATGGACTTGTTACCACAAAAACCTAAGCAGTATTATGAACCAATACCTTAGCATACACCAACTCACGTAATATTACAAAATACTCAGGTATCAGACATATGTGTTGCACAGCAGTTCTTTTCGTTAGCCTCTACGCTTGAGATATCCCTGATGAAAGAACCTAGAGGAAAGTTTCAGGTTTCTCACAAGTTTCTCCGCTTCATTGGTCGCTCTAGATGAAGCGACATAGTAGGTAGTGTTGCAGTAAAACATAAATTCTTAGGTAAGACGAGATCAATCGGTGAGGTGGTGAATGTATACCAATCAATGTGTCTGAGACATTTGATACACTTATCGAGTCATCGACGTCTTCATTGAGAAACGTCAGGTGAAATGCAATTCGGTTGAAAAAATCGTGGGATAGTGAGGTTGAAGGTGATGCCAATCCATTCAGCCCTAGAGCCTGAGATATTGAGTGTTGCTTAGCTAGAGCCCTCAGACTGCAGACTTATGATGAATTGTCTCCTTATGACTTTAGAAATTCTGAATACTTTCGTGATCTCATTTTAATAATGATCTCTTGCACATATAATGTAATCCAACTTCTGTCCCCTTTCCATGTTTTCGGAAGTGAAACAATCTAAAGAATTTATTAAAGCATCTGCAGTTTTACCATATAAGGAGGGGACATCTGAAATCCTACGTAGGATTCTTAATAAAGCAGGAACTAGGGTGGCATTAAAACCCACAAACCCACTCAGGGACAAGCTCTGTAGGTCAAAGGACCCCGTTGATCCAATTAGACAGAATAATGTAATTTACAAAATACCTTGAACTACATAAGTCAAACCAGTAGATCGATGGTAGTCAGGTTGTCACAACATAAGAATTCAGCTAAGGTTAGAATGATTGACCCCGTGAAGATAAGTAATTCCGAAAAAGGCTCAGCAATGGCACTGCATGCACTAACACACAACCCCACAATAGGGTGACAGAGGGTTAAAATTCCAAAAAGCAATACAGATAGGTGGCGAGAGAGGTTGATTACTGAATCTCTGTTCATAGAATCCACACCCAACACGTGCAATAGGAATGACTCATTGTTCATAACAGAAATATGGAAAATATTACTACCAGTCAAATCAAGAGATGAGAAATAGTGGAACCATATGAATGAAGTTGGAAAGTTGTGTCAATAACTTGATATGATTATGAGCAATAAATTGTGCTCAAAACGTTGTAATCAGTAAATATTCCTGCATAACACTGTGACACTTTGTCAAAATAAATTCCATCCAAAATGGGATTATACGCCACCACAGTGCACAAGTCCTATTCTTTTATCCTCACCAAAGGGCAAGATGTAGTATTTGACAAGACCTCAATAGTGAGAATGATATGCCATTTCTTTCGAGACATAATCGGCTTCAACACTTGTCACACAAATCATGACTCATTCGGCTATTACTGGAGCAATATTTCTTCGGACAACGCTCCAGGTAGGAAGAGCGGAGTGACAATAGAAGCCACTGCACAGTTCCACTACCATAAAAATGGAGGTCTTGTTTATTACATTGTCAAAACCTTGTAGTCAAATGCAAACAATGTCTCTCCTGAAGTGGAGTTTGCGGAAAACTGATTTAATAATGTAGTGGTTCCAGATTTAATGTAACTTAGCGTTGTGAAATTGGAGGACACCAAGCTATTATTAGAAATCATCGCAGTATACAGTGATGAGAATGATTTCATTTTGGGGCAGATACATACAGTTCGAGTGTTGGGTTTGAACGACCCAGATTTGTCCAGTCAGCATTGACTTCAGGTGCACTGCTGACATTTTGGGTAGACTTCGGGTGCAGTTCAGACAACCGTCTTAATTTCTCCAATGAGCCTGGAGATTTTGCCTTGAAATGTCTACAGTGGGCCTTAAGAAAATGCTAGCTGGATAAGTTTTCGGCTACAGGTGGCTTGCACCGCTTAACTATTGCTTTTATCCATTCACTGCATGCACCCCAAATCTTAATTACACAGAATCGGCAAAGTTAAACTATCATAGCCAAAACCCCAGTGGCCTTGAAAAACCAATCGAAATTCAGGTGCAAAAAGCCACATAATCGTCAGAAAATACACTAGAAATGTTGCAGTTTTGATACTACACTGTATAGTTGCAGCTTATGTGTTGCAAGAATGTCTCTCAGTTACCATACAGATGATCATTCAGATATCATACCATGCCCAATAAATGCATTCATCCAAGTGACTGTAGATCGTGTTGCTTTGAGATCCATTGACAATTCTAACACTGTTCTCCAACCCAGTCGGTTAATGCACATGGGCAAACGTGGGATAAAAGGGTAATCTAGATCGGCAAAAACGTGGGCAAAAGATGGTGTAAATGCAACCGATTTTACCCACTTTGGCCACATTTCCCACTTTTTCCCCGTTTCCCCATGTCCAGATAAAATTTGTTTGTCCCACCTTTTCCCAGTTTTCCCACGTAACCCACGTTTTTACCCATTTATCCCATGTGCAGGAATTCAAAATATACCCACTTTTTCTCCGTTTGCCCATGTCACTTTAGAAAACA